TGTTCATCAAATTTGGGCAGCTTAAGTTGGCTGGCCTTGACCCAATTGTCATTCTTGGGTCCTTCATCTTTTTATTGGGGAAGCTTGGCAATCTCAGTTTGTGCTGTTATTCTTTCTATTTCCAGTCTCTCCTTTTCTTCTTTTGGAATTTGTGCTCTTATTCTCTTTCTATTTCTAGTCTCTCCTTCCTCTTCTTATGCTCTTATTCCATTTCCAGTTTCTCCTTTCCTTCTTTCTCTGTTTGTGCTCTTATTCTCTCTATTTCCAGTCCCTCATTTCATTCTTTTTCTTTCTGCCTTTCCTCCTCTCTTCTCTGTTGATGCTCTTCTCTCTCCAGCTCTTTAATAACTCTTGTAGATTGCCATTTTTAGGCCCAAGTCACTCATCCCTTTCTATTCACTTATCAAAGTCAGTCAACATGGTTATATAATGTAGTTGTGATCTCTACAATAATTTCACCAACACTACAGCTGTTTATATATAGGCCTATTTCTACTGTCATTCATGCCTTCTTTTACTGCCGTTTACTACTATATGATCTTGGTCAGGTTGTTACTTATGCGTGTGTGGACTTTGATGAAAAGAGACAATTAGTTGAAGCTCTAGATACAACTGTGGTAATCAACAGTGAAGTGGACTTTTTTTTATATATATTTAACTTGTTTTTAATATATATTACTTTCAAACAAGTGGATTGTGCTGTTTGTTTATAGTTGAAATTTATTGCCAACAAGTCACAGACACCTACTCTAAAGAATCCAGCCCACACACATAAGTAAAAACCTAACATTGTGTCATATGTTACAGCTAGTCTCTCAGTAGTTCATTCTTGCTTGCTCTTTATAATGAGAACTTAATACAAATTCAGGACCCTAACAAGTTTGACACCTTGTTTTGTTCCAAGCAGTAGAGTTTCATTAGTTAGTTGTGCAAAAATCCTTTGGTAACATTTTGCAAGGTTGTATTTGTTATACATAGTTTGTAGCAAGGATGACTTGCTCAATATATATCAGGTAGCTTTTTGAGCTCTGTCAATGATGGTTTCTAGACTACCAGAAGTATAATTCAAAAATGGGACAAGTCTAACATGCTTCATATTGTGCTACTTTTTGACCCAAATTCCTGTCACTATATGACCATCACATCCCTTGTATTTATAAGGGGTTACTTAGTTATCCTAATTACATATGTTTAATTCTTAGACTCAAGAATGTCGCAAGTCCTACTGGTTACCTCATGAGGTGGTTTATCTCCTCAAGAACATTTGTTCTATCTTAATCTGTCTATCCCATGAAAATGTCTCTTGGGGTTCCTCTGCATGTGATTGATAAAAACTGTTATGACATAAATAGAAACTAACACAAATTACACCAATTCAGCACCTAATTACAGCTAATAGGTGTATGTCATATAATGACTGAGAAATTGCAATTATATACTCAACATTTTATTCAATATTTTCAGCCTAATATAACATTGATATCTTGGGCATTCTAAAATGTTACTAATAAATTGAACCAAATTAACTTAGAAGAACTTCAGGTTTTTCCAATCACAATGAGGCACTTTCAGTATACTTCATATTTTCACAAACTTCACACTTTTCTTTAAAACCATTATACATAAAAGTTGCTATAGGTTATGTTTCTTGTTCTTTGAAGTGAAGCACAAAGCTACATGATGGGCTATCTGTGCTTTGCCCACCACGAGTATCCAAACCCGGTTTCTAGCGTTGTAAGTCCGCAGACATACAGCTGTGCCACTGGGGGGCAGGTTATTTTCAATAAATAAATCATTACAAAGTAGGAAGTGTGAACAAAACTCCAGATAAATTAAAAATATCAATAAACATGTTCTCAAAAAATAATAAGTCTTATACAACAGAATTCATATATGAAGATCTACAGTATAGAAATCTCAACACTATTAATACCCTGGGATATTATTAACTTTAAAATTAATTTCATATAATTTTATTTAATCAAACAAAACATATTTAACTTTTGTGTTCATAAAATGTTACTTGCCCAAATACATTTCATAATTTTTTCCCCCAAACTAATGGGGTATAAAAACCAGGAAAAATAAACACTGTGACAAGTAAATCTATAGAATTTTTATTCTATAATCAAAGAAGTAACATGTACCATAAATATGTATTTTTGTTCTTTAAGAATCACTGATATTTTTTCTTGAAAACTGTCAACTATAAACTTGAAATAAATCTAAAACCACAAAAAAAAGAAATAATTTTAAGTACATTTTACAAAATCTCATTAATAGATAAAACATTGTAGACATTACCATTTTAAAAGATTTCAGCACTTCAAATCTAATCACAAACATAAAACCAATTCTATTATAATTGTAGGAATTATAAATAATTAAATTTTGAATACTTGCTTTAATCATAAATGTTTTGTAAAAAGAAAAAAACTGTTTTGTAGTGCTTTTGTTTCTACTGTTAATATTTCTTCCAAATTATCCAGTTTCATAAAAAATTGGAAATTGTTATATAAATAACCTTTTTAAACCATTATATTTAATTATATCACATAGTACTGGACCTAAGATCCATATCTAAGAAATATGGAAGGCTTAATCTGTTGGGGTTGTAAATTATATTAATTGTGCTAAGGATAACTTTTGAAAATTTTCAAGCTAATAAAATATAAGCCTTTTGCTACATCTTATATTGTATTCTTTCACTTACAAATCCATTATTAAAATACTTATATTTGTATAAACTGATGATAACAAAATTCTATTGAAAAGTTGTACATTTGTTAATGTATTAAACTTGTAACAATGTTTTCTTCATTACTTATTCAAGTCATCTCTGACCTTTATTAATCTCAAACAGGTTCGTTAATATTAAATATGTTCATAAAATGTTTGTTTTTTTTAACTGTGATTTATGCACTTTTCATCCTAAATGTTTTCCAAATATCATGAAAAAAACTTTACCAACAACCTTGAAATTAAAAGGAATATGATGTAACAAATTAAAAATCTGGTTCTCAATCAGTTGAATTGTAATACTTCAAAACACAATTTCTTGATATTCTTTTTGGAAAGATAAACGGATGATCCAACACTTTTCAACACAATATACAAATAAATATGCACATATCTAAGATAATATTTTTCTTTATATAAATTGACTATATGGGTGACATTTAATGTTCATAGTCCATGGGTAATCAATATTTTTATTAATAGTTTCTTAAAGATAGCTGACCTATTTTCATTTATCTAACCATCAAACCAGTGTAAAAAAAAGAAAATACACGTAACTTTCTACACACAAAACTTTAGCCTTTAAACAATCATCTTGCTAGACAATACACAGTACTACTAACCATTGTAGTTAATTAGTCTAAAATATATAAGTATCAAAACATTTTTGTTTTAATGTTAATTAAAGTTTCAGTTTAAATATGTCAGATGTAATAATTAATACCTACAACCTTAGAGTCAATTCATGGTAACAAATACAAATTTGTAACATTTTCAAAACTGTATATAAATATTAGAACATTTTTGTCTCCTGTAATTTTTACTGAATGCAATTGGTTGGTTAATATGTTGACTGACCAAAAGAAAAATACAGTTGGCTAGCTAAAAAAGATTAAATATTGATATCTACCATGAAACAAAGTCCTAGAAAACACTTTAAAAGTCATTAAACTTTTACCTTAAAAAAACACAAATGGGAATTACTCTTTATTAATATAGTGACTTCATATTTAATTTCAAAATAATCAAAATGATGTACATATTTTTGTCCACAGTCCAGTGAAAAGGAAAAACTTATGTTACTAAACGTTAACACGTTATAAGTTACTAAAACATTGATCAAATATCTGATATCTTGCAAAGTATCTAACTTTCAAAGTTATCTTTCGATAAATTATCCCTATTAAAAACTAACATGGAAATATTTCCCGATTCAGCAGTACCGAACACTACAGTATAGCATAACAATAAAACAGGCTTCTTTTTTTTTTTACATTTACAAGTAGGAGATAAAATGTTTTGGTTTCTACTACTGCTATTTTTTAAACATGTTATTCAAAGCCCTATTTTAAAATTATGAATCATATTCATAGTTTACATGTCACAACTCACGGTAATTGGGGTGACTGATAATATACGATACTGCACAATGTAGTGACAATTCATTGTTTCTCAGTTTCACAAGCAATCCATCAAATCATATAATTTTAAGCTTACTTAATGCCACAATTCTGTCAAGTATTATGAAACAACAGATAATCTATTAGAACTGAAAAATTCAATAAACGAACATACTAGTACTTAAAAATTGAGTTTTATTTACATAATTTGTTAATGTTACGCCTAAGATTTTCTTGCAATTTTTTTTTAACATTACACATCCCTACTTCAATTAGTCCCTTATATGTTAGCTATATTAATTTGGTTTTATATATATATATATATATATTTATATCATTATAGTTAGCTTGCCTTGTCAGTACCTATTGATAAGAAAAAAAAAAAAAGACTGAGTTATAAAACTTATAATCAGTCCCTAACACGTTTAGAAGATCTAGTAGTCCCTATTTGTATTACTGTTAGTATTAGTGGCATTACAACGATTTTCGAACAATGACAGTAAGCCTAATATTGCTGCATTACCATTGGTGAGATCGGTCGTTTCTTCCTTTAACTTAAAAAAAAAATACCAATTTTGTACACACTATCGGCTATGCATGTATTTTCACCCCATATCAACAATAGACATTTCATGTTCAGCATCCAGAAAAAAAAAGCAAAACTATAATACAAATTTTAACAAGGTCATTGACCCCTTAGGCTATTTTACTTCGACAGAAAAAAACAATTTAGTCAAACTAAAACAATATAATTATACAAAATTCATAGAATGTCAATAACAAAATATATAGTACAGTTATAGCATTTAGTAAAATATTATTAATGAATATAAAATACTTAAATAGTGTATAAGGGTTGGAGTTTGGACGAGGTAACGATATTTAAGCATAACTTATTCAGGTTTCGTAAATCTTCGTTATGAGTTTATAATATATTTCAACTATAACACTTGCTTTTGAAAATCGCATTTATTTTTAATAATGGGATTATAACAATCCTTATGTCTCACGAGTCTGTTTTCTTGCTATTTTATAATTCCGTATTTTTGGGGTTTGACAAGTAGAATAGTTATTACGAATATGGAAACACCACAGACAAAGCAACAGTGACGTTCCAGGCGTTGGTTTTTCATATAGCCAATCAGGTAACGAGATTTCATGAATTAAACCAATCAGAGTAAAGTTTTGTCACATGGTATTATTTGTCGATCTCCCAAGCCGGTTTCCTGAGCGAAGTAAACAAGAAACTGACGGTATACCGGTAATAGGCGCTGCCAAGGTTGTTCCGGCTGTAGATAAATACTGTCAGCTGTTTGTGCTGCAGGAGCAAAAGTAATATATGAAATATAAGCTAATCAGTTTCAAAACAGAAGACTTTCTATGGTGTGATTACTAAAATGTCGACTGGAAAACGGTTAGCCAAACGATCAATTATTGGAATGAGAGTTTGTGCACCTATTGAAGATGGGCGTTTTTACCCAGGAGTAATACATGCAACGAAAACCGAAGCAGGTGGTAAAGATACGATAATATACTGCATTTTGTTTGATGAAAAGAAGTTGCCACTCAAGGAGTTCAGAGCTAACGAATTAATTGGGCCAAGTTTCCAAAATATTGCAAGTATAAAACTTAAAAATAAGCAAAAGGTTTACGTCACGTACAATGGACGTGAAGTGGTGGGAACTGTGGTTCATCACCGACCAGATATCGACCAGGTCATTCTGATTGTTGAACCTTCATCACACAATTGCCATTTAACAAGGCCTGTAGAATTAAAAAAGAAGATAGAAGAAATTAGACTGATTGAAAGTCGTAAGTCGGTTAGACTTCTGGATAATGACACCGACTACTCCAAACTAGCTGAAGGACAAGAACCACGAAGAAGGACCTCATCACTCACTATCGATGTCCCTTCAAATTCAACACAGAGGTTCGGCGAGTTGCATATTATTATAATTATTTTGCGAAAATGTAAATATCGTGGGATTACACATATCCCACGCAAATTATTTTAAATGTGAGACTGATATATTAATTTCAGTGCAGGAGTAAAAATTTTCTTGTATAGCACTAACTTTTATTTTTATTCATTGTGAAGGTATATTTCATATATACGTTTAGAATGAATTTTTATATGAGACACTCAATGTAAAGTCACAGCCCTAGTTAAGGCAAGAAACTTATTAAACAGGTAAAACTATTTTATCTTAACTTACCACTTCTAAATTCTAATGCTCTGATAATAAGTTATATATTTTTCATTTTAATGCTTGTTAAAAGTGTTGTTAATATATATGTATTATTATTACCTTTACTTTGAGGATTATTTTGCACCATTAGTTTAATATATGGGTTTAGAAATAATCTAAATCTAAGGTAGTCTAACTTCGTTAAGTGTTATTGTGATTACGACCGAAAATATATATATATATATAACAGCAAAGGTACATAACTGATTAATGAATGCATTCTAATAATTACAAGTTTTTGTTATTTGACATTGCACTTTCCTAGGGTACGGTTGGCCCTCTGGTATAGCTCTGTATTTTAGAATTGTCGAGGCTTGTTCGAATCCGTTCGACACCACAATACATTCCTTTATACTGTGGGTGTGTTGTGGAAATGGTAGTCAATCCATTTGGATGGATGGTGGGTAGTATGGTGCTGCTGACTATTTATTTACCTTCCCTCTGGTTAGTAGTTCAAAATCAAGGCCGGCGATAGATAGCTTTAGTAGTAGCTTTGCCAAGAAAAATAAAATAACATTTATAGGTATTTAATTTCAATGGTAATTTGTAGTTCTGTGACTTTATACTACAACTAATTTTGTTCAGAAATTACCAATAATACAAAATTACTTACTGTTTTCAGGGATATTGATTTATTACATTAAGCATTTCAAGTATGATTGTGTTGCAGGATTACCGTCATTAATTTTAACTTTTAAGTCACGTTTTGAATTATTTTTATTCTGATATGTATAGTTAGCTAACATTTGATCAGTTGTTATTAAAATTTAGTTCTTAAAAATCCCTTTTCTCAGCTCACACTAAATAATATATATATATGTTAGTATGGTTATTGATTTTGTTTATAATTTACTGTGCCAGTATTAATAACAAATACTAAAATTTTTTGAAATTACTACACATTCCATACCACAATTACGTGGACTTCGCAAGCACACACAGCGATCTCTTGCTTGAATGAGTAAAGTGCTTGTCCCTCACATCAGCTGATTGTATTTCGACGAGTCCACATTTTGTTTTGGGGTAGATAGAACGTAAGCCATTGAGTTGAACAACAGATATATTGGACTTCCTTGCTGAAACTTCTTAAAGACGAGATTACGTGCTTGAATATTTGCATTCAGGTTCCAGCGAACGTTATATTCTTTAAAAGTAACCAAAGGTGATTTTTTGACAGATTATTTAAAATACTGTAATTTATTGTAGTAGTGTTTGATTTCAATCGGATTGCATATTATTATTATATAAAAGTACGAAATCTGCATATTTATAGTTCGTTAAGTATTGCAGTGACATTTTCGCCATGTGTCTCAGCATAAAATACTTGAATTCGTACAGTAATACATAAAAGCTGTAACAAATCGTTTTTTTTATGTAGTTGCTAAAGCGTTTTAATACCGAATACTCCAGTTCATATGACATTTTTTTCTCTAAGTTTAATTCCCATTAAGTACAGGATGGTTAAAAAGTCGGAATGAATATTTGGAAAAGCCAGTAGGGCCAACCATGTAGCATATGGGCAATTTTGAAATGCATAAAATATCACGGAGAGTACTTTCCACTTGTTTCTAGAAATTACCCTCAACACACTATTAATATTATAGCGAATATTGAGTGTTACAATAACCAATTTCGACCATTGCTTCCACTTTGACATTCGAATTTGATACTGCAGCGTGCAGAGGCTTAGATGACGCCTAAGGAGGTATTGTGTGCTGCCATATCTAATACGATTGTTAAGATAGGTGTAATAATCGAAAATGATAGTTGTAAATTTTGAAAAGTTGTTAAAGGGCCCCATTTAGTACAGTTTACAGAAACACTGCAATGCACTCTTTGTAAACCTGGTGCATGTATACAAATTATTTCATCTGCGTGTGTTACATGGTTCGTCTTACAGTCTGTACCAAATTCCCATACTGACTTATAATCAGCCTGTATATTAAAGTATTTTTATGTGCCGTATAGTGAAACATTTATGTATATTTTCTTATTTCAGTATTACTAATATGACAGATAAGCTCCATATTATTACACAGTTTCATGTTAAATGATATTTCCTGCTTCATGAAGTTTCTGTCAATATCGTTTGATGTTAATGTTAAAAACTGTTAATGTCCCACTTTTCTTGTTTTTTTTATTTTACTTCAAGTTTGGTAATTTACCTGTGACCTTTGAGAAATCATCATAATGTGATTAAAGTTCAATGTTTATCATCATTTTATTGAGAAGTCCACCAATGTCGGGCACCTTTAAGGAAAAATGTATAACTTTGAAGAGCAACTTGACTTATTCTCATTCGTTAGTCTCTCGCTCAGTACTCTGTTGTTTATGATATGTATACTCAATTCAAAGCTAAAATGCTAGCATACAGTATTCTTAAATCTTACTTGTAATCCGTATTGAGTAAATTTTAAAAGTATTTACAGTCACATAAAAAATTGACATAATATTTCATTACATCCTAATGGGTATACCTCTTGACCAGGTGTTAACTATTTATTAAATGTGTTATGAAGATGTGTTCAACTTAACAACAATGGAGATTTACTTGAAGTCCATAAAAACAACATTTTAGTGAAGAAATAAACCTTAAATAATCATCTCTTCTTACAGTAATTTATAATATGGTTGGTTTTAAAGTAGAGCTTTCTTTACAGTGGTCGCAAGCGACGCCCAAGTTCAGCTGAAGATGGTGACGTTATGGATGAATGTATGGCTGCTATGGTACTAATGAGTCTGTCTTGCAGTCCAAAGTCCCCACGCTTTCCTGATTTTGGTAAGTTAGCTTAATGTGTCATATTAAACAGAAGTTGAATCATAACATTGATTGGTTAACCACATACTTTTTGGCTTCCTAATAAAAGATATGCAGACTCTTCACTTCACTGTTTATATTAGTAATCTTAAACTTTATATTAACTTTAGTAAAGATGGTGACCCGATGAATGGACGGCTGTCATGGTACTAACATACCTCTCTCTCTTGAAATCCGAACAATGGCAACTTGCTTTTAACAATTTCTGCAGTATAAAGAAAAAAAATATTGCAGCCGTTTCCTAAACAAAGGATTGGGCCCTAAATATTGAGTAAAATAATCACAATTACCATATATTGAGTTTTTATTTTCATCATCTTTCTTATTTCACTAATCTTTTTTTCTCTCCTCTACGGTCCGTCATTACTTTTGACAATTCTAAAATTTCGGCAGTAGGTTATTATAGCGCAGAAAAAATTATTATTATGGCCTGGTGGTTAGGGCGCTCGTCTCTTAATCTGTGGGTCATGGGATTGAAACTCGTCACTGAACATGCTCGCCCTTTCAGCTGTGGGGGTGTTATAATGTGAAGTCTCCACTGTTCTTTGATAAAGAGAAGCCTAAGAGTTGGCGGTGGATGGTGTTTACTAACTGCATTCCCTCTAGTCTATCACTTCAAAATTAGGGACGGTTGGCAAAAATAGCTCTCGAGTAACTTTGCGCGAAAACTCAACAAGCAAACACAAATTAGTTACCATTGTATCTATAAAGAAACAAACAGAAAAGACAAAAAAAAAGGAATATTTTTGTCTGGCACCCTTCTATTGTTTTTTTCATTATAGCGTGTGTATGTAAAAGTGGTTGGTGAGTGTTCACTTTAGTCACAATTATTATGATTGTTATTCAGATAAATACGAAATAATCGTGTTTTTATTTTGTTAGCCCATTGGTATCGTAGTTTATAATATTTTTTTTTTTTTTAAATACTTCTTACCATGTGATCGTAACTCTGCTTTAAGAAATACACGTACGAACATCCTTATAAAGATTCCACACAGAACCTTGGAGTCAGCTGTGTGAACAGCGAGGTTTGTTTTAAACGTCCTTGGGAAGCCGGGTGCGGCGCAATGTTTGCCACGCTAGGCACACTGGGAAACCATAGGCCTATCTGTAAATTTTCCTATCCAACATCCATGTGATTACTTTCGGTTTTATGTTTATAAAACATCTGTTGTGTCATATATGTTATATAAAATGTAGCAATAGCATTGAACAGAAAAAAAGTGTTAAGCTGTAAAAAAATACGAATTAAAGATTGCATTCTATCCGTTTACGGGCGGAAAAGCCCCTCCCACTAAAAAAAGTAGTTCACTGAAGGACAACAGATGACCTGTGTATTGTGTATTATTACGCTGACGTTATGCGAAAAACTTTTTTCGTGCGTTTGGTAACTTCCGTGAAAACGTAACATTATCAGTTTATTAGTAAATATAATGAAAATGCTATGTATCCGTTTGTCTGTCACTATGTTATTTGTCATCAGCATCACCTGTGAAGCGAGTTTTATTAGTCACTGTAAGGAATGTTATCTTCATACCATACAACATTAGACATGTGTTATGCAAGTGTTTGAAAATGAATAAAATACAATTGTTTACACAATACATGTTTAAAGTCTCCTGTAGGTGGATCGAGATTTCATTTAGATAAAAATACAAGTTATCCAAATTATTCGTTTCTCATTTTGGCGCTCTACGATATTTTTATGTATATTTCATACGTTTTCTTATATGAAAAGTAAAATTAATTAGCCTCTGAACATACAAATCACCCAATGATATAATATAATTATGCAGATTTGACTTCATTTAGAAACATGGGTTTTTTCCGTTGTTTTAAATAAATTTAGCCAAGAAAGACTATATATATCTAACGTTACCTTGTTCAATCAACAAACAACTCTTTTATTATTATTTTTATATAACTTTGAAGTTGGCACTGTCGACTGCTTTATGATAGTGTTAGTTAATAGTCTCGATGACTTAAATATCCTTTTAAAAGTTTAATATATATATATATATATCTGTAGCTTGTAAATAGCGAACTGACTTTTTTGAGATCTCACCAGTCAGTTGCCCCTTATTTTTTCTCTATCAGTTTGGAAGTGAGCGCCGTTTATTGGCCTCGATGAGGCCGTCGCCCTCAGAAAATACCACTTTTGTCCTACATAGCACATGTACATCTACTTGTGCTTCTTCGACGGGGTTGAATCGTCATATTTACATTTTTTTAATCTTTTCTTGCGTGCCCCCCAGTGGCACAGCGGTATGTCTGCGGACTTACAACGCTAGAATCCGGGTTTCGATACCCGTGATGGGCAGAGCACAGATAGCCCATTGTGTAGTTTTGTGCTTAATTAAAAACAAACAAAAACAAAATCTTCTTGGGTGAGTAAAAACTGATCAAACGATCGCATAGTATATAAATTGGAAGGTTTCTGCTGAACCCTTGTATTACCAAGATACTCGTATGGCCAACAAGGTTTGTATGTTTAATTATTATAAGATACTAAAAATATTTCTTTTTTTGGACAGGCCATACGTTATTTGTCTGTTAGACAACCAAATTAAAATGGATTGGAAGAGAAAAAATATATCCATCCAAAAATGCTTTTCTCGCATTTTTGTATTATATTAACCAAAGACACACTGTAATCATTATTAAAGGGAAGCAACGCATGTAGAGATGTAATACGCAAGTGAGGATATTGTTAATATTACATAAATTATCAAGTAGGTTACATGGAATTGAAAAGTATGTTACCGTTAAAAATGACAACGTGTGAGAAAGAGCCGGAAGCAGCAGTGACACTGGTTGACATTCTCCATTTTGAGCTTAGATATACGAAATGAACTTTGGAATTGAGTGACCGTGTGAAGGAGACCAGACCATTTTTATTATTATTGTTACGTCTCTGTTCATTTGTTAATTTCCGGTATAAATTCTTTTCGAGGAACTTAAGCGATACAAGTCCTTTCT